ACACTTACGAGATGCGTTCCACTTCTCGAGGAACGACAAAAACTCAGGAGAGATCAGGTCTTTGATTTTTGTGCGAACAAACCTCCCATACCACCCTCGGTCTCAGTCCTCATTAATGCTCGAGAAAGAAGCCTTATTTGCTTGGCGGACAAACTTGATCAGCCCCCTCGAAAAATTCGGGGGCTATATAGGCGGAGTAGATGGTCGAGGGTGAACCGTGGGTTGTCAGTATTGTTCACAAAATGATGTAGGAGGATCACGATCCTCCAAAATGATGGATGGATTTGCTTGAGGCACACCTCATACCTCTTGCAAAAAGCCAGGATTACGGGATCTACCGGGCCCAGTATGAAGGTGTAAGTATAAACACTTAAATACCCCCTCACGTGGGTAGTAATATAGTCATTAGGCCTAGGGAAGACCACGTATTTACCTTCCCATTTACAATCCTCTCGGACTATGGGAAGGGTATCTTCAGTGACAGAGCATATGTATCTCCATGCTCCATCACCTTGGTCTTGCTGACTAGAGGCCTCCTCAACCTTGAAATCATCTCCGATAGAGCAACCCCCGAGTATAAAGCTCTTCATGGGAGGCTCGTGAGCCACCTCGACGCTCATGGCCGAATGGAAAGACAATGGAACTGCTTGTTGTGGTACAGACTTGGAAGTTTTAGCCATCGTGATCTGGGAAAATATGAAGATTTGAAGGGAAGTATGACGAATTGAAGGAGAATATGAAGATTCAAAGGAAAAATATGAAGATTTGAAGAAAGATTACGAAGGTTTGAAGGTGTAATGAAGATATGAAGATCTGGGTTGGAAATCTAAGAAAAAATATGAAGATTTGAAGGTCAGAGATGAAGATATGAAGGCTCAAGAAGTAGGGTATGGAGATTTGAAAAAGTTAAAAGCCATTAGAAAATTCGAAGGTAAAAGCTAGGATCGAAAAGTGAAAGAACTGTAAAAGGTCGAAGCTTTTATAGGGGAAAATGCAATTAATGCGCGACGTTTCACATTCGAAGGTAGCCAGCCAATGGCCGACACATGTCCGAAGTCATAACAACGCGATTGATGGGGCATTTTGATTTACCCGTCATCTCAATTATAACGTACGAGGAAAGAAATCAGGGTTCATCTATTTGTTTCCCATCATTCCGTCAAACCTACTCTTCAGAAAATGAGGGGACTAACTGTATACGGGTAAAATCAGGGATAATGCATACCCGATTTCCTAGTGAAGAAGACGGAAGAAGGGCACGAACACACGAGGGTGAAATAGATGTTGGGAGCCTTTCGTACCGAGAGCCATGAAAGGTGAACAATGTTCTCATCGTCGAGCGTGACAAAGCAACGCTCCTCGGACTCGAAGCAAGCTCTAAGACCTCGAAAATATTGCAAACGATTACACACGACTAACAAAGGGCCGTGATATCCATACATTACTGGATACATGGTACAAATCTCACCCGATGTCGGTTACGAATCAGTAATTAACGAGAAAGGAGGATTTTTATCTTTTTTAGACTTGTACTAGGGATGAAACTCACCTACTGTATAAAAGGAAAGTTTTTTTTGATAACGCACATCGTAACATGCAAACCAAGACAATACAAATTTATTTTTCTGCTTTCTGGCTATTGCAAAGTTCTTACTTTATCGTTTGTTCTTCATTCACAATTGGCTTCGAACCAAGATTCGATCGAGGGCAAGACTGGTGTTCAACCTAAGTTCGAGCTAGGGCATAGCATTACAATTGGTTTGATTATTCATTTTATCTTTAACTCGTTTGTCTAATATTCTTGATTATTTGTGTTGAATCAATCTACATATCATTAAAATCGCATATAAATTTAATTATTATCCATTTAAGGATAAACAGAAGTTAATCAAATGAATAATGAAATGCGAGATTTAATACAAACTACCCCAAGAACTGGTGTCACAAGTTATGAGCAATTAAACAATAGAATACAACATTGATATGAAGAAAATACATTATCTATTTAAATTATAAGTTCTAAACTACCATGAATAAAATGGCAGCTAATAACTGGAACACTGATATATTCAATGCTCACCCTAGAATTCCGTAACATCTTAGTTCCAAAATCTGAACACACGGTGCAAAAGTGTAGTATGATTACAACCGATCCATATAATTAGTAAGTATTAAGACTAACCTCAACGAAATAATGACGAGGTTTAGTCAAAATATATTCATTTTATATAGCTAGTGCAATTCATAAACATATATAGAAATAGAAAAAAACAACAAAAAGCAACAAGTATGAATCATAAGGTGCACAGTCGAAGTACAAGTTAAGAATCATATTTTCTTAAATATCATGATAAAAAAACATATATCAATGAACTGAATTTGCATATAAGGGAGATATATATCAAGCAACATTTATTCGAATGCTTCTATATGAGTATAGAATATCTATGTGATATTAGGCTATATATATGATATTTACACCTTAATAGTACTATGCTTTATTGTTGTTTTATAGGTAAATTGCCAACAAAATGCTCTAAATGGTGTTCTTTTGTTTCGCAGGGAATATTCTAAGTGAGGAAGCACCATGGAGTGTTTTGGAGGCAATAATGTGAAGAAAACGCCCACTCGAGAAGTAACCAAGCACAAAGAAGCGAGAAATGGCCTGAGCCAATTCCACCACGACCGCGGCAGACCAAAGCTCGAGGCAGAATGATCAGCTCCCACCGCGGTCTTGCCGCGGTCTTGCCGCGACCGCGTGCACTGTTCACGCGTCAGAAATTTTTGGACCAAAGTGTAACTTCGGCAAAACTTGTTCCAAACTCTTATAAGCTATAGAAACTCACCCAAGATTGTTTTAAGCTTGTTTTTAGACTACTTTGGAGGTAAGAACAAGTGTGAGAAGATCAACCAAACATTAGAGTTTTTCTATCTCTTTTATTCTCTTGCAATTACCCATTATGAATTTTTTAGTAGTTTTATCTTGTTTTGTCATGAGTAGCTAATTCCTTAGTCTAGGGTTTTGATGGAACCTGTTAAAGGATGAACTTCTTGTGATGTTAATATAGTTTGCCATTTTAATCTATATTTATTCAACTACGTGTTTTTTGTAGTTAATTGACAGGATCCTCACTTAGTTGTGCCTATTTAGTGTGCATAACTCGGGAGAGAGTAAATATTTAGGTAGTTGTTGAACAAAACCACTCCCAAAGTATATGAGGGATCAATAATTGCGGGTTTAAAGGCAGGATTAGGGATAACGAAGCCTTGGGTGCAATCTAAAGTGAGCTGTACTAAACAAAACCAGTTAGCGTATCTCAGGAGAGTGCGTCTAGTAAATTATCGTGATTACTCGGGAGAGATTTACGGTAATAGGAATGCTCATGATTGATAGAGATAATTTGGTGAATCTACATGAAACATAACCGGAAGGGATTCCATCAATAGGGAAAATCATTACCTTAGAACCTTCTCTTAATTGGTTACAACTTAATCATAGTTAGTTTTCAGTTGCTTATTTACTTTCATTCTTAGTTAGTAAAAACACCATCAATTGTTATTGACAACGTTTGGGAAGTTGATTCCGTAGAATTTAGTAAATCCAACGAAAGTAATTGATAAGTTGATTCCTTGTGGGTTCGACTCTAGGCTGAATACTCAGATTATATTTGTAACATGCGCATGTCCTTTTAATAGGCATAGTTGGGCGTGATCAAATTTTGGCGTCGTTGTCGTGGAATTAACGATGTTATCATTTACAATTGAACGAAATACAAATTTTTTTAGTGTAGTCAGTTTTCTCTACACCCAATCTATACATTGAAATTTTAACGTTTGTTGACTTGGTTGTACAGGTGCATGCCTAGAAACTCATCGAGAACTGGTAAAGTATTTGAAGCATTATCAGATCCCGAGAAAGTTTTCAAGGCCTTGAATTGGGACAACCGGAAAAACAAACAACTGAACAATTTGAACCAGACATAGGAGATCACGAAGTAGACCCAGCTATACCAATAGCGCCAGAGGCTGCTCTCTATGACTGGGCACAACCCACAACTGAAAATCTGGCCACAACGATTGTAGTCCCGTAGATACAGGCTGAATCATTTCAAATCACGAATAACATGCTGCACTTGTCGCAAAACAAGGGACTATTTTCGGGGTCACAAGTCGAAGATCCTCAACAGAACTTGAAGAATTTCCTGTCAATCTGCAAAACCCAAAGGCAGCCCAACGTAACTCCGAAAGCAATCAAGCTGCTATTGTTTCCATTCTCAATGACATGAGCTACCCAGACCTGGCTAAACTCACTCCCCCTAAATTCCATAACACCTTGGGAGGACTTAGTCAAGCAGTTCCATAACAAGTTCCACCCACCCAACAAGACTGCTCAACAAATTGATGAAATTTTGAGTTTTAAACAGAGACTAATGGAGACACTGCATGAAACATGAGAACATTTCAAAGGGATGCTGGTTATATGTCCGCACCATGGTATTCCAGATCTGATGTTGGGGCAACGGTTTTACACGGGATTGTCAGATAGAGTGAAGAACATTGTTGATGCTTCAGCTGGTGGAGCATTTTTGAGCAAAACATGGAGAGAAAGGCCAGAGTCTGCTTGATAAGATGGCACAGAATTCGGGATGGACAACCAGGAATGCACCTATCACTCCAGTGGTTCACTCAGTGCCCTTAGATCCATCTAACTCTATGGCTGAAAATATGGCCACCTTATTGACACAAATGAGTATACTCATTAAAAAGGTGGAAGAGTTAGGGCAGAAGCAGTAGGTACACATCGTAGATACTACCAATGGGGGCTTGTGCACATCTTGCATTAGTCAGCCAATTGGTAACTAGTGGAATGCAGAACATGATCATCATCACTACCCTGAAGACAATGTGTCTAATTATGGAGGCTAGAGACAGGGTGGTCAGAATTAGGGCCAGCAAAATCAGCCGTACAGGCCAGTCAACCACAGTTTAACAATGGGAACATGGGAGGTATGAGACCTCCCAACAATATGGCACCTTACCCAAGGCCACAGGGATATAACAATCAGAATCAGCAGCAGGGGTATCACCCTCCTCTACAGCAGGGGAATCACCCTCCTCAGCAGCAGCATGGTAGACAACAGGAAGATGGGTTTTCTAGACTTGAGGTAATGATACAGTAGGTTATTGGGTCTAATGCAAAAATTAGTGAGAGAGTAGATGCACACGATTCAGCTATCAAGAATATTGAAATGCAGATGGGCCAAATTTCGATGTCTCTGAACAATTGTCCTCATGGGACATTACCTGCTGATACCCAGATAAATCCAAAATATCAAGGCTCGAAGCAGCTGATGGCAGTGAGTCTACGTAATGGCAGAGATTTAGATGTAGAGCAAGAGAGGGCTAGAGAAACCAGACAGGCTGAGACACTCATACCAGTGCCCATTGAGCTAGATGAGTCAACGAAACTGACAGAGGTGACAGTCCAGCCTGCCTAGGAAGAAAATAACATTCAGATTGAGATTGAGAAAGAAGCTGAGACAACCCAGGAACCAGTCGTTGAGGTGGCAGCTGACAAAGATCAATCCCAAATCATTGGAAAAAAGAGACATCCTGCATCATTTCCTCAGAGGTTGGCTAAGTACCAAAAAGAGGAGCAATACAAAAAATTCTTGGAGATGCTGAAACAAATCCAGGTAAATATTCCATTGATTGATGCTTTGAAAGAGATGCCTGGGTATGCAAAAATGATGAAGGACTTGATGTCCCGAAAATTCAATTTCCAAGACTTGGCCACAATTATTCTTACTCATACCTGTAGTGCAGTGGTGACTAGACCAATTGCGGAAAAGTTGTCTAACCCAAGGAGCTTTACAATTCTATGCACTATTGGTAATTTTGCTTTTGCTAAGGCACTGTGCGATCTAGGGGCCAGCATAAATCTTATGCCCCTGGCAGTTTATAAGAGGCTGGGGATTAGAAGAGCTAGACCCACCTCCATGTTGTTGCAGCTGGCTAACAGGACTGTAAAAAGACCCTCTGGAATCCTGGACGATGTGTTGATTCAAGTAGGGAAATTTGTGTTCCCTGTAGATTTTGTGATCTTAGACTGCAAAGTAGATGAAGAGATTCCCATAATTTTGGGAAGGCTGTTCTTGGCCACTGGGAGAGCTCTCATAGATTGTGAGATTGGGGAGCTAAAGATGAGATTGAATGACGAAGAGATAACATTCAATGTGCAGAAATCTATGAGGCGATCAAGTGAATTCACCAATTGCTCTCTTATTAATACCGTGGATGTAATCGTAGAGACTGATGATGAGATGCTGACTATTGAGGACCCTCTTGCTGCATGTCTGATGAATTTAGATGAGGTAAATGGAGAAGAACTGGCGGAATGGGTGTTGGCATTAGAGGGTAGAGGGTTCTGGGATAGACTCTTGAATTTGAGCCTCTGCGCCTGGAAAATAGAGAAATTCCTCCAGCCAAGCCATCCATCGAAGAGCCACCAAAGCTGGAGTTAAAGCTACTGCCTGCCCATCTCAGGTATGAGTTCCTTGGACCTGACTCCACATTACCTGTTATTATCTCATCTAGCTTGTTAGATGTGCAGGCACAACAACTCTTGCAGGTACTCAAGGAGTGTAAGACTGCCATTGGGTGGACCATGGCAGACATAAAGGGGATCAACCCCGCCTACTGTATGCACAAAATTCTGCTAGAAGAGGGACACAAACCTTCCAGGGAACACCAAAGAAGGCTGAACCCAATATAAAGGAAGTGGTGAAGAAAGGAGTGATAAAATGGTTAGATGCGGGAATCATTTTCCCAATCTCTGACAGTAGCTGGGTTAGCTCGGTTCAATGTGTACCTAAAAAGGGTGGCATGACGGTAGTTAAAAATGAAAATAATGAATTGATCTCTACGAGAACCGTCACGGGCTGGAGAATTTGCATGGATTACAAAAAGTTAAATCTCGCCACCCGAAAAGACCACTTCCCACTTCCCTTCATTGATCAGATGTTAGACAGATTGGCAGGAAGGTCACACTTCTGTTTTCTGGATGGGTACTCAGGGTACAATCAGATCTCCATTGCACCAGAGGACAGAGAGAAGACTTCTTTCACTTGCCCGTATGGCATTTATGCCTTTCGGAGGATGCCCTTTGGCCTGTGCAATGCACCCGCCACATTCCAAAGGTGCATGATAGACATATTCACTAACATGGTAGAGGACATAATGGAGGTGTTCATGGATGATTTCTCAGTGGTGGGGAACTCATTTGATGAGTGCCTTATAAATCTGACTCGTGTGCTAAAACGGTGTATCGAGACTAACCTGGTTCTTAATTGGGAGAAGTGTCATTTCATGGTACAAGAAGGCATAGTCTTGGGGCACCGGGTGTCAAGCAAAGGAATTGAGGTG